GGGTCTCATAAATGGAAAATAGGACAGCTTTATCCCTTACCTGATGTACATCAGGAATTCAACACATTATCTAAGCTCAGTGGTGGAATTAGGAAAAGAAGTGGGGCACGAGCCCCAGGCACCAACTAGGAGGGGGTCCCAGAATCCTCCTTCTCACTCCCCCCACACCCCGTAACAGCCCTGCTTGGTCACAGGAGCCAGGTAGGACAATGCTGCACCAAGCAGTGTATCTGGGGCATGGCAGGGGGAGAAGAGGGTTGAGTGGAGCAAACTGAATGGTGCCCCCTGACCTGGGAGCCTTTTCTAGAGTAGGCACAGCCCTGCAACAAATACAGGTTTCCCTCGCTTTATGTGGGCTCTGTATGTGCAAATTCGCTCTTATGTGAGGACCCTTTTTATACCAAAAATTCATTATATGCGAGGTAAATTCACCCTTATGCGATCGGTGTGGTGGAAGCCCACAGTCAGCTGCTTTGTGCGGTGCATTGTGGGAGTGACAAGCGCCAAACTATAGACTCCTGTATGGATCTGTGCTCCTAGCTCATTGTCTACATGTGTTTCTGTAGTTGCCATCCCCATTATGATAGTGCCTTGTGCTTGTGTATACTGTCAGCTGTCAGTGAGTACCAAAATTGTCTTGTAAAAGTGGTAGAAATGGACCTGGGCGTCAGTATAGTCAAGGTCTTGGAACATCCCTATTTGTTACATTGTAAAGTGGGCTCCCTTCATGAAAATTCAAGTTATGTATCATTTTCCAGGAATGCATGAACAGCAGCGTTTCCCAACCGGTTTGCCACAGCACACTCATGTGCCGTTAGGCACACCCAGGTGTGCCATAGCATTTTGGGCTGGAGCCACGCCGCCCCCCCACTGCTGCTGGGGACAGACAGACAGGGAGCGTGGCTTCAGCCCCAAATGCCATCCAGCTGGCCACACACCACCCCTCCCTGTCGATGTCCGGCTGGCTGCATGCCTCCTCTCCCCCTCGCTCCACTTCCAGTGTGCTGAAATGCTTTTTTATTTAGGTAAGTGTGCCATGGGGCGAAAAAGGTTGGGAAACGCTGATGTACAGCATAAAGCGAGGGAAACGTGTGTGTGTGTGTGTGCGCGCGCGTGCACACGTGTAAAATCGGGAGGGAAGAGGGGAGAGAAAACAGCAGCACCAGGGTCAGCTCCCAGGGCTGCTGCCACCTGAGCAGAACTGATGCAGAGGCAGCAGCAGCCTGGAAAGGTAAGCCTACCCTTGCACTCACTCATGCCCTCCCTAAAGCCAAAGTGGTTGGCAGACTCCCATGCATCACCTCCTTCTGCCTCAAGAGATCCATGAGCTCACTATGCCTCTATCGAGCCTGGTTTTAGATTATGTTTCAACTGTGGTCCAACAATAAATGCAGTCAATCTAAAAATAAATGTACCTGATATGAAAGTACTCCATGAGACGAGGTATTAATAAATAATGAACTTTCAATACTGCCTTCTTCTGTTGGCAGAAAGAGGACTTTGAAAGAAATTTTTCCCATTGCTGGAATCACCTAAAGAGACAACAAAGAAGCCCACTGCTCAATGGAGCCAACTGTAACCCTTTCTCTTACCATCTAATATTAGGCATTTCTAAATATGAACCTTTCAGTATTAAGCCTGAAGTTTCCAGACTAGGCTAGAATCAAATAAACCTGTTCACAGAATATTCTAAAAGCTTTTCCACACACTCAGTATTTCTTTGGCCTGGCAATAAACTATCTACATTTAGGCACATACTATGAAGTGAACCAATATATGAGATAATCAAATATTAAGGTTGGGTAAACATTTCTACAACCAAGTATGAGCCTAAGCCAAAAATACAAGTTAATGGTTGGAAAATACTAATTCGTCCATTTTGCTAGGGGCCAAACTCAAATTTGCTTGTTGAAGCACTCATTCATGCCTACTCAAAAAGTCTTAAAAGGAATTGAAAAAAACTGCATAAATGGAAATGAAAAAACCTCCATTAGAATAGGATTGTATCTGAGTCTTGTCAAATACTGTGCAATGCGGTGCATGTTTAATGCTCTTTAGATGCAGTTACATTTAACAAAAAGAATTTAGATAATATAAAAATATTTTACTGCAATTTTCCTTCATGAGGAATATGCAAAAGTATACTCAGGAGGCCGAGAATCGAAGAGACTATAAACGCTAACAAATCTTTGAATTCTGTGGCAAACACAGTGGAGTGGGATTTAATAATCCAACTTTACATTATAGAATTCTTACCCTCCTGAGCCACCATAAAATTACTCTCTCAATGTAAGGTTTAAACTTCTCCCTTTCCCTTTCTTGGTATGAATGAAACAAAAACACAGGCTAGCAAACAGAAAAAAATGAGTTACAGATAGCAAGTAAAGCATGAAGGAGCACAAAATGAAAACTTTAGCCCAAGGAAAGCACGAAACTTTGGCGTTCTGCCACTACATAGTTTCCAAAAGTACATCAACACTCACCCTGCTATGAACAGGAGACACGTGAAATTGTCTAGTAGCTGTAAACACTGAATTCACTACAATTTCTCTATCCCTACTAGGGTTGTAAGCGTATAGCATTTTAGCTCTGGGCAGCCCCAGTAACCTATGGAAAAAATTAAAAAGGACACAGAAAGCATTACTGATTTTATAAACACCGGTATCTTGCAAAACACAAAGAAACTACATGCTGTTAAAACCACTTTGATTCAACATATTACCACTAAAGCTAATCCAGCCCATTAATTTTTCTGCTTTAAAATATTAAGTAAAATAGACATCGTTGATATAGATGTATTACACATTTCAAAATTGCTTAGATTAACAAGTTTGTAAGAAACACACAGCACATGGTAACTTAAAAAAAAATATTGGGTATGTATTTTTGCATAAATTGTAAATTAAATTTAAATAAGCAAAACTTTGGTTGGTCATATGAAACAATTCTCCTGTGGCTTTTATTTTTTACAATAAGTTTTTAAAACTGCTTCCTATGCAGACTTTCTGTGCCTCTTTTGGAACATTCCTTTAATTCACAAGAAGTTTATGATTTTGGGGTTTTTGTTTGTTTGTTTTTTTTAACTGATGGCATAAAGGGAGCTACTCATTTTTAAAAGGCTTTCCCCAAGACAAAAACTTGAGAAGCACAGAAACCCTTAACTATGGGGTCCAGAAGTACATAAACATTATTTCTGACAGTGGTTTTTTTTTTTTAAAGTATTCGGTCTATTCTCATAAAAATCCCACTCCTCGATCTACAGAGACAATTTACCATAAAGCAACCATCGAGTGGTAGAAACCAGTTTGGTATAGCTACAGGGTCATCCATAAATGCTGTTTACTCACTGTTAACCCATGATCATCTGTTTCCCACATATGGTCAACCCAATCCTTTGTAATGTGTTTCCCCCATACTGACTTCTAACCATTTTCACGTGACTCCCACCAATCAATATTTCTTTAAACCAAGAAACTTGCTGCAGTCCCTATGGTAAGTCATATTTCTGGTGACAAAGATTTAGAAGCTATACAAACAAAATACCAACATGTCCTTGTCTGTACCAAACTCTCTTCTGAGAAGGTTTTCCTTTGTTAGCAACAGCATTGGCATGTGGGTGCAACAGCAATCATGGGAATACTAATGTTATTGGAATTTGCCACCATGTTATGCAGACTTGCTCAGTCATCCTGCTAGGGAGCTGTGGCTCAGGGATGGTGGATAAGGATGATGACTACATAGAAGTCAGAGACTGGACACAGGTGATCCCAAATGGACAATGTGTGTGGGGACGGAGAGAGGGGGAGTCATCATGATGGCTTTCTTCCTTTGAGACCCCTCTTATAGGTTTTCCCTGGAAAGGAATGATCTGAGCCATATTCTTTCATCCCAAAATGTGCCTCAGTATGGCAACCCTGGCATTAATTATTTATTAAAAGAACAAGATACTCACTGCATTCCAAAATGCAAAACTGATGGGTGGAAATGCAAGGCCTTCCCATTAGGTGGCATCTTTGCTGAGAAGCTGAAAAAGAACAGGCATGATGAATACTTTGCTAATAGGATATGATGAAGCTAAGTCAGATTTCTAGCTTACACAAGCCTGCCTTGTTTCTGGGGTCTCCCAACTGTGTATCCAAATCATGCTGTCATCCCACATTTCTATTCAGCCATGCCCCTCATCATTTCATAAGAATAAAATATGGTAGACTATGCCAGAAATCACTAAAAGTACAATTATTATGCAAGCTAAAATGTTCTTACACGCACAAGAGAATTTAGACAAAGTCATCACAGAAACTGCACCACATCTTTTGTATTGTCCAGTTATTTCCAGTAGTAAATCCTAGGCTTACAGATATTGCTTTATTAGCCCTTTTCCAACAGATATGGCCACAAAATAAAGGTGTGACATGTTTCAGTTGTCACTTTGCCTTTCTTGGCCCCCAAAAAACTTACAAAAATATTCTTATGGGATCTTGCACTTTTAAAGCAGATCTAACTTGTCTCTATGCAAGCTGGAATTCCATGGCAGACAAAAATCCCACTGCTATCATTCTATTACCATTCTGCTTTTCATCTTACAAATATGGTGGCAAAATAAGGTATGGACTCCATAGTCTTGTATACGTCCAGTGCTAACTATGACTTTTGAAAACATCTTCTGTGTAGACACAACCTTTGTCTCAGGTAACTGGAGATCGGTTCTAGAAGGACAAGGCAAGCGATGTTTGCCACAGAACGCTCCTTGAAGAAGTGTAGAAGCAAAACCTTTGATGAAAGCTAAGGAAAAAAAACCTGAACAGGCACTGGGAAATATGTATTTCCACTTGTGGAAGTTTTGAAAGAGAATGGAATCAAAGACAGGAATGTGGAGATGATATCTTTGTCACCACCATCAATATTTATTTTGCATGCCCCAGTAGCACACAGTTACCGTTCAGAATCAGGAACTCACTGTATTAGCTGTTTTCACAGCAACAAGCATCTCCCCTGTGCTTTGTATCTCAGAACCAGTTCTCTAACTGTGTGATATAGAAGCTATATCTCATCAAGGATGTTTTAAAAAACATAGCACTGGGTCTATACTGATTACAAACACAGCTCTGAAGTCCAAATCTGATTTTTTACCACCAGACTGGTTAGATGCAAAACACTTACAACTGGGGTCAAACAAGTTTCCTGGTAATAAGATGATAGTGTTGCATAGGTGTGCTAGGTCTACATTTTCATGGTTTGCAAAGTTTGATATTTGTTTTAAAAGAAACAGCTCTGCTCAGCTGCTGTTCAGCTAACTGTTGTTCAGGCAGAGTGCCCTTGAAGCAAAGATATTGTCCTAAATCAGCTCCAAGGTGGGATTCCATGGTGCATAGCTGAAAAAAAACACTGGCTCCCTATTTAATAATAATGCATTTTTAAAATGTTATTCAATACGTTTTATGTCTTAAAATGCTGTTATTCCTTTCTGCAACAAACAAGACTCCATGCCTATATGGAGAACTATCAAAAAACTGTTATGAGAACTCACAACATATACAACACAATTCAATGAAAGATAGCTTTGTACTATAACTCTTCCCACCCCTTATTTTTTTAAGTCCATTTTTGATTATCATACAAATACAGCAAAACAAAGCATCTCATCCACTCAGGCAGTGGTGGGTGTATGGCTGTCATATCTTGAACTCCATACATGGCTCTATTCAGTCCCTACACTTCTGCAGCTGTTGCGGAGTCACCGTCCCCTCCCTCGTGGATGTTTAAAAGCTCCAGCAGATTTTTTTTGATAAACAAGGAAAATGTGCTAGGCATTCTTGGCCCCTATTTTCTAAGGGAATGGACTAGAAGATAGCACCAGGTTTAGGCAACTTCCTGATTTTCGCCTAAAGAATTCTGGGGAGAATTCCTTGGGAGAAGATTTTCCTTGTGGGGTACCTGGATGCAAAGTGCCACCGTATAGCTGCTGAAAGATTGCCACAGGGCAAACTGTAACTGAAAGAATACAATTTGCATCACACTGAACTATTAATTCATACAGATACACTAAGCTATCACTTAGTCAAATATCTAAAGAAGGCAACGGCCAAGAGTACAGCTCCTGAGAAAGACTGAAGGAGGGGGAAGAAAATTCATTGGGGTTTGGGGGGGGGGGTTGTTGTTTTTTTTAAAGGGGGGGGAAAAATCATCATGACAAAACTATTCTAGCAATACTGTGAGGCCTACCTACAATG